AAAAATTTTAATCTATTTATTAATATTTTAGATAAATAAATTATTTATATGTTTTTTTTTTCAAATTTGTATATCATTTTTTTAAAGCGTCGATTTCTCATTACTTGTATTCTTATATGTAATAAATATATTATTTTTTGAATATAATATTTCGTCTTATTCCTCAGCAAACGAAAATGGATTGAAATGAATTGGAAATCTGAATCCGTATTTTAAATCCATAAAAATTTTAAGAAAATCCATTTTAAGAAAATGGGACATTAAAAGAAAAACTTTTTTTTATTCAATTGGATTAAAAAACTACATTTCTTATTCAGAATTTTAAATTAAGCAGTATTCACGATACATACAAAATACTACATATTATTATTTTTAGATTGAAAAGCATAGAAATATATTCCATGTCATTCGTATAAATGAATAAAAATGCATTCAACATTGAAAAGGAATCATTTTAACATTCATGAATCCGTATTTCTGAAAATCTGAATCCATTTTAATCTATTTCAATTCATTCTCGTCAATTCTTTGCTGGATCGATATATGTATATACAATTATATTATGTACAATATATGCATTATATGATATATACATATTATGTATATGAGAATGTATATATGAATTTTATGAATATGTCGTATTTTTATTAAAATCACTTTGCATAAGCATGGCAAAGTGAATAATTAATACTCATCATTATAGTACTACTTTTTCCATTTATTTGAATTTATTTAAGTCATAGAATATCGTATATATATTTAATTTCTTTCTGTTTTGAAGTTTGAAGCAGAGTTTTATGTATGTATATAAAATCTAAAGATGACAAGGCATATTTGTAATCTCGTTACTTTTCTTATTATCGTTACTTTATTATAATAAGGATTTGATAATGAATTTTTCTTAGGACTGTAACACGATAACGTATTGGTATTGTATACGTATCAATATTGGAAAGTTGATTATTACTTGATAACAGATTTCAGAAAGCCACTTATATAGTGAAAAAATTAATTTGGCATTTGCATTGTTTACTCGTAATTCGGGCAACACACAATATTCATAAAATATCTAGAAAATATTTTTAAATATTTATAAAACTTATGTCGAATATTTTGTAAATATTTTTGTAGTTTTAGATTGCACAGATAACTCATAAAAAGCAGAAATATCTGAAATACATTATAGAAATAACGTGAAAATATCACATATCTCAGATATATATATTTTTAAAGATATAATGTAGTTGAGACATATCTGCTGTGTGAGATTTATTATAAATATTATAAAATATTGATTGTAAAATGTTGTAGTAAATGCTACGAAAATATATTCAATAAGAAATTAATAAAATAAAAAATATATTTAGTTTTATTATAATATTTTATTATAATATTTAAAAAAATGAATAGTCTCATAAATATTTATCATAAATATTCTGTGCTATCTAGATATGTAACGTAATTTGTTATAAATTACTTTTTTGAGTAATTAAACGCGTGATGATAACACGTTACTTTTCAAAATCTTAGCGTTTAGTTGCATTTATTATTACAGTCATAAAGAATTGCAACGCCATTATCAAATCATTACTACAAAAGTAACAGTTAAAGCATATAATCTATAATTATATATAATTATATATAAAATTATATAAAAAAATTGACGTATTTTATATTTAAATTTTCATAAAATACGTTCATATATGTAACATTTTTTTCTCGTGTTACTTTATCTGCTATCCCTGAATAAAATCTATAATTGTTATTCATCTAAGTGGAACTTCAATAATCTGCAATTAAGTATGAAAAAAATTAAAGATAATAGAAAAAAAATCCGGATAATTAGTTTTATACAGTCATTTTTTAATAAGAAACGTTATTCGATTACATCTAAATTATCTTTTTTAAAATTCATTATTTTCTAAAATAATCTAGTTAACTCACAGAAATCGAGTGTTGTATTCAAATATTATATAAATCTAAAAATCCTTCCTCGATTACTCGAATGTAACATTTTTCATTAATTATTAATTATTTCAATAAATTGTTACACTAAATAAATTTTAATTATCAAATTTTAATATAAATTTGATTAAATACAGTTATATTTAATGTAAATATTTATGAAATATAAATACTGGTATTTAACTTGTTTAATATCTATGATAAATAAATGTTCAATTATCTAATCTTTTGTGTGCTTATTATACATAAAATTTTTTTATTATATGAACGACTCAAAGAGAAACATTAATATGTAAAATTTACTATTTTTGTTCTATTTGTTTTATTTTTTTTTTATTTCCTTTAGGCTTTTAATAAACGATGAAATAATTTTATCAAAAGCTGTATCTTCTACGTCTTTTGCAGTTAATAAAATTCTTTTGTCTTTCTAATTTTTTTCTCAGTTCTTATATCTGTGTCATGGTAACTGATTAAATGTTTCTCTAACTTTATTGTTTCCCAAAATATGTCATAAACATGATTACAAGAATTACATTTTGTCGTACAATCTTTTAATTTAATATATTGCCATATCCAGTTACATTGGCTTTTTTTTACAATATCTGTTATCTTCTTTGAATGTTCCAATTTTAAATGCTTCTTAAATATTGTTGGTGAAGATGCAACAGAACAAATTTCCTTGCAAAACTTACATTTTATCTTATATCCTTCTAAATATGTGCAATATGACCTTATACATTTGTATCTACTATCATTTTTTATATTTTCTGCTATCTTTTCTGGATGTTTTGCTTTTATATGCTTAATTAATACTCTCGATCCATTCAAACTTTTATTACAAATATTGCATACTTTCGTACATTCGTTAAATTTTAAATTGTGTTGCTTTTTGCATTCGCGTGGTTTTCTGTTGCATTCTTTAGCACTTTCATATTGCTTTAAATGATATTTTAAATTTTTTTCTTCATTTGCAAAAGTTTCTTGACAAATTTTACATTTTGCCTTGAAATTTTTTAATATAGTATAATACTTGAGCACACGATTACATTGGCTATCACTTTGTTTTGCCATTACAATCTTCTTAGCGTCATAAACTTTGTGTTACTAAAGATAAGGCCTTTTGATGGAGAAACGTTGGAATAAGATACCCAGAAAAGATCGAAAAGAGATGTGGCTCTTTGTTAAAAAATAAATATTAATAGGATAGAGCGAGGCTATTTCATCCCCATGTGTAAGATAGTTATTGTAATGTATAAGATAGTTATATATATATATATATATAAAGCACGTTACTGTTAAAAAAGATATTGTTTATTGTCGTAAATTTTTTATTACTTTAAGGTTGAAAATGATGGAATAGCTCCATTCTACCCTATACATACAATTAATTTAACAATTACATTATAAGTTTATTTTTTTTTGGTTGAATTATAGCGTATATTAAAGCTACTGTAGACTATTCTAATCTAAAATGCAAAAGTGAGATATCTCAATTGACAAAATGCCCTATGTGAATTTTATCAAATAGCATAATAAAATGTATTGAATATTTCGCGATTTAATTCATTTCTGTATTTTTATTAAACGTACATCTTTATGTCAATTTATGTACAATGGCTTTAAAGTGCACTGAGTGCGCACTAGTTCTGCCAATGAAAAATGCTATTAGTATACTCGTTATATACACTCGTTGTATTTATATTTGAAATTTAGTAAAAGTAAGAAAAATTTTGTGCAGACCAGTAAACCGATAAGGAATAAGTCCCCCATTTTTGTTTGCGCTTTATTTTTAATTATTCAAATACTATTATTTTTAATTCATAATTTAATTATTATTTTTAATTTCAACATATGATTTTTTTAACCAAAAACAAAAATTAATTAACCTTCTATAGACCGAATTTTTTCATGACTATAAAAAAATTTATGTAACGTGAAATCAAAAAATCAAAATACTAATTAACAATAAATTCAACAGTTTCAACGATTTTATTATAACAATTATGGTTTTATAACTTTAAAATAACAACGTTTGCACTTGTGTGTATAAAAGTTTAAGTATGGAATTCCATAAAACAGTTTATACTTGGCATTAAACATAGGTATACGTTGCATTTCGAACATTTTATTTTTTGAACCCTTTTGTACCCCGGCTTTTTGCAGCGTCCCCTTTTATCCGAAAACATTAGCCAATGTGCTATTTCATCTTTTGCATGTCTTTTAATTTCTGGAATAATTGCATTTGATCTCCTTAAATTAAATAAATTAATAAAATATCGATATATACTAGTATGTGATTTGAAAATTACATGAGTCTATAAAGAGTTAAAGTCAGTATTATTCTAAATTTACATAAATGACATAAGTTTATTAAAAATTTAAGTTAAAACGACATTAATGTTATTTCTTTAATTTATATAAACTTTTATATTTTTTCTTAAAAATAAGATTTTACATATATATAAAAAGATATTTTTTTTACTTATTTTTGTATAATAATAATATTGTTTGTTGTTGTAAATTTTTTAATAATCCTTAAATCAACAATTATCAGGTGCATGACTGCGAAATATAATTCTGTGTACCTAATTTAAACAATTTTTGCATCTTTTTTTACATTAACGAGATTAATGTTATTTCTAATTTTTTTTATGAATTAGATTATTAATTTTCTTTATTGAGACAAAAGACTTTTCTTTACAAATTGAAGATAATAATTGATTTTGTCCCAGATTGTTCTATTATAGCAATTTTTTAAAAATCTGTTATAAAATTATATAGTACATTTTTAATATAATAAGTTTTTAAAAAATATCGTATGCAATTTGTTATCTTTTATAAATTAATATTAATTAAGCATATAAAAATTCCTCTGTTTTTATTTTATTTCAATTTATTATCTATATATGACCACTAATTAGCATTTTCAGTCTAAATAATAATTTAAAAAAGTAGTAAAAATATAATAACAAAATAAAATAATACAATAATATAACAAGTAGAATAATGATTAACAACACTTTAATTTAAGCTTTAATTTCTCGTGAATATTTTCGGTCTACTATTACTGTCAACATATAATTGAAAATATTTCCTCAATGTTACTTGTTTCTTTCCTCGAAATATTTGACCCCATATAATCATGATAGTTATGATATTTCCGGTCTCTTTGATTGACAGAAAATTCTACTTGCAAATGCCGCGTTTTGGATTACAGAATAATCCGTCAGCGCAAGGACACAAGATGTAGTGAATATCTTTAACAGCGATTTCCGAAGTGTCCGGGTAAGTCAAATTGGTCGTAATAGTCTCAGCGTTTACTCGGCATTGTTCACCTTTCTGTTGAAATGGCATACAAGTCGGTTTTGTGTACCTTGTAGGCCCTAAAAGGAATTAATAATACTTAATGCACCTGTTAAGAGTTCGAAATGTATGTATTTCTTTAACCGAAAATATGTATCTAGTATATTTATGTTCCTTCGTTATTAGAATGTTTTAAAAATTTCTATTTTATATATGTATATGTATAAAATTCCTTCTTGTAATATTAATATATTGTATATATATATA